CTCCTGTTGAATGTGGGGTGCTCGTTGTGCAATGGCTGCAGCCCCGGCGAGCGGCGCCGCGGTCCACAGCCTCCGCCGTAATCCTCACAAGAGCTGCGCCCACACCCGTTCACCAACTCTCTTTCCTGCCAAACGAAGCCTCAACTCCAATTTCTGAACCAGTCTCAAATCAGGATCTTGATCGCAGCCCCAGAGCCAGATTTTTCTCAAGATTCGAGAATAAAACACGCGGAAAAGCCACCGTGCCCTTCGTTGTAGGCGCAGTACTTGGTTATATACGGCTCAGGCTCGGGGCCTTGAAATGGACAGAGATGAATGTCTGGGCCTGGAGGATGCCTCCCGCGATGAGGTTGCCTCCTCTCCCAGGGATCTGCAGGAGAGACGGGAAATCGGGCTGTTTCCCACACCACCGGTCCCGGCTGGAAGTGCGGAGAGGTTCGGGAAGCGGGAGGCAAGAGATCCCGCTCACCCATGTGAAGAGTCCAAACCCAGAGTCGTTTTGCTCAGGACATCCAGGGTCAGTGAGGATGGTCTTTACTCAGCATCATTAAGAGCATCTTATTCTCACACACACCCCCACCCCACCCCGCATCATTTCGGGCCGTTATAAAAAGCGTCCTGTGCTCTCCCTCCCTCCCTCTCACTCTCTCATTTCCCCCTCTCCCTACACACACACACACACACACACACACACACACCAGTAACTGGCTTTATGCTTTATTTTTTGTTATAGAGCCCTTTGAAAAAGAACTCCCAGAAAAACTTGAGTTTTCAAGATAAAAAGTAGGGGGGTTGCTTTGTGCCAGTTTATAAGAAACATACTTGAGGAATGGTAGGTGCATATTCTAGTTACTGTGCAGCCTCTGCCAGCCTTGCCTTGGGATCTTAGGCAACTTATTCAGCCTTTCTGAGCCTCAATTCTCTCATCCATCAAGTGGATGCATTAATTTTGTTCATTTGCATTGTGCTAAGTGCCGGGTGGGTATGATTTTCAGTGACACATGATCCTTACTTTTGAGGAGGTCATTCTGGGAGCATGAGGCAGGGATGACACAGCCCACAACCAGACACTCATAATGAATGGTATAAGTGCCTCTTCTCTCTCCATTCCCTTGCTGCTTCTATGCTTTAAACACCCTGGCCTTCTATTCCTCAAAGAGTATTGTGTTTCCTCCTACCTCCAGTTGTCCCCAGGCCTGGAACCTATGTTTCATGTCCTTCATCTGGTGATAACTCCTACTTCACTCTCACCTCAAGTGTCCGTTCCTTGTGGAAGGCTCTCCAACCCCCAGTTGGGTTAGCATCCCTTATGGTAAACTCATGGCAGTGAGTAACAACCTTTTATACGATTTCCAGATAAGGTCTATTTCCTTTTCCCATGTGTGATGTTCATGCATTTTCTGCCTTTTATCCCGCATTGGTTCCCTGAAACTTTGCACGTGATTGGTTTGTGGTAGAATATGCCCAGAAAATGCCTGTTAAATGAACAAATGAGTCAGTGAATACAGATGCTGTAGTGGGAGCCCAGAGGGGAAAACCACTGACTTGCCCAGGGAGTGGAGAAGTCTTCATGGAGGAGGGGGCATTTGAGCTGACCACAAAGGTTGAGCCCAATTCTTCAGATTCTTCAGACAGGGGAGATCACATGTACATTCAAACACAACAAAAGGTGACAGGCAATAAGGCTTTGACACAACACTGGCTTTTTCTGTGTGAGCTGAGCATTCCCTGTGTGTAGCAATCGCTGGAGATGAAGTGGGAAGGTTGTTTGGAACCAGATTTTGAGGGTTTTACGTACCATGTTATAAAATACTAGAGGCCCGGTGCACGACATTCATGCACTGCAGGGGGTGGGGGTCCCTCAGCCCAGCCTGTGTTTTTAGCAGTCTGGGAGCCCTCAGGGGATACTGACTGAGGCCCATGGGGAGCGGGCCTAAGCTGCAGTGGGACATCCTTAGTGCTGCAGGGGAGGTGGGAGAGGCTCCCACCACTGCTGCTGCGCTCGCCAGCCTTCAGCCCGGCTTGTGGCTGAGCACACTGACCACCACGGGGCAGCTCCTGCATTGAGCGTCTGCCCCTGGTGGTCAGTGCATGTCATAGCGACTGGTCATTCCACTGTTTGGTCGATTTGCATATTACCCTTTTATTATATAGGATATAACATAATCATGGAGGCATTGAGCACCACTGAAGTCTTAAAAAAACAACAGCAAGGGACTGGCATTAGCAGAACTGTATTTTAGGATGATAACTTTGGTAGTAAGTGGGTGATGGATTAGACAGTAAAGATACTGGAAGCATGGAGGTCAATCAGAGACTGTGGTGCAGAAAAAAATAAATAAGAAGAGCCTCAGTGGAGGCAGTGGCTGTGGGATGGAAGAGAAGGGGTTGAAAGGAAGCTGAGTAGACAAGGCTTGGTTAGCTAATTGAACATTTTCCTGTAAACCCAAGTGTCCAAATTATTAAGCCTGTTGCGTATTGTGTTAGATTGGACTTTATCCTGATCAAGATTTTGAGTGCCAGAGACTTATTTTGGAGGTAATCCCAGGAAGCTCCCACCAGGAAGTAAGACAGTGAGACAGGGAAGTGACAGAAGCCAGTGCAGGTGCACTAATGAGCAGGTTCCCACAGGGACACATGGGGATCAAACCCACAGGAGACCCATGAGAGGCAGAGTGGAACAAGCCGCAGAGCTGTCCTGCACAAGGAATGAGGAAATGGGTATTTATCACTAAATTTTCTGCATGATTGGCTAAGGTCTGTTCTGGAAGTGTTAACTCCCTGGCACTTTCTTCTCACTCCATGTACCTGGGATGAGAAAATCCCCAGCCATGCCCCGCCAGAGTAACTCAGTGGTTGAGAGACAACCTATGAACCAGGAGGTCATGGTTCCACACATGCCTGGGTTACAAGCTCGATCCCCAGTTGGGGGCGTGCAGAAGGCAGCCAAATCAATGCTTATCTCTCATCATTGATGTTTCTGTCTCTCTTTCCCTCTCCCTTTCTCTCTGAAATCAATAAAAATATTAAAAGAAAATCCCCAGGCAGAGAACTGCAGGTCCTCTCAGTAGGAAGCCATTATCTATCTATATAGGTAATGAGTTCCAAGGGTTATGGGGTCAGCAGTGATAACATGTGATATATGATATTGTTTTGGGGGTGTCTGCTGGTCTAGACACTTTAGGTATGTTTTGTAATT